GGCAATCTAGCTAATGAAATTCACATTCGTCATGCCAAAGGGAATGTCTTGATATTTAGTATCACAGATTTTGCAATTATTTCTGGTTTGAGATGTAAATGAGAAATCAGCATTCCATCTATAAGTTTTCGGAGTGACTGTCTTCGTAATAGATATGCAACACTGTTATGAAAGTATGGTATGGAAAAGTTCAAGGCGGGATATGTTAGCGATAACGATGATCCTACAAGGCCGAAAGAGTTTCTACACTATACCAGCAGAAGGTGGACTGATTAATATAGAATAGTTATGTTTTAGTATTGTGTTGAAGATACGATTAATTAGTATTTTGTAATATTCCTTCCCCTTTTCCAACACTGTTTTTCTAAGTAATTATTAATTTGAAGACTATTTTTTTTTCTAAAAATTGTATTCCTATTTAATTATTTTTCCAATTTATGTATCTTATACACCAATACTGCCGCTACAATATAACTATTAGATACAAATATACTATATATTCCATAATTGGGTCCACAACTAATTTTCAATTTATTTAGTATCTATTAAAACATGTGGTAGCCTTGATGCAAATCACAAATTATGATAACATATTATTTTCAGATACACAATATCCATTCAATTATAATGTATATGATACATATTTACTATCAAATAATATGTTACAATTGGTACAAAATAATTAAGTTTCAATATATTTAGTATCATTTAACATGTTGAATCTTGTAACATTGCTTTAAATAAAAAAGATCAACAAATTTTTATATAAAGTTAAAATTAAAATCACACCTAATGGTAATATCTTATTGTGTATCAGATACAAAATATCCAACTAATTATTATTTATAGAGCAACTTTCATATATAGCAAACAAAAAAATCATATTTGTATGTTATAGCAAAGTTTGCATAATTGCGCTCCATAGCAAACATATATATGTATAATTATAAATTGTTGTTAGCCTTCTCGTTTGTATAAATAGTTGACAAAAATATTTGTATATCAAAAATCGCTCTCTCTTTCGCTTTATACAAACATAAATTATACATTATACAAACATAAAACTGGGCAGGGGAATATTTTTATTGTATAATTATAAGTGTATAGGACGAAAATATATGTATTTGCATGTGTATATACAATTTTCTCGCGCTTTATACAAACAGAAAC